GAGGGGGGGAGAGTAAAAGGAGGGAGAGGGAGGAGGGGTGGGGGTGGGGGACACAAACACACACGCTAGTTAGATAACGTAATGTAAATGTAGACATTTTTACACCCCCATCAACTTAATTTAGATGATTGATTAAGGATTCAGGTTTCGACCCTGTCTGTTATGGCCAACCCGGATCGAAAGGGATACAACGTCCCAGCAGAAAGACCAAGACACTCTATAAAAATTCTCTCCACTCAGAAATTGAACTTGCGCCTCCTGCATGTAATAGTAAAACACCTAATCACAACACCAAAGACACCGGTCTTCTTAGATAAAAGGAGAACACACACTGGTAGGGTTTAGTATTAGTAAGAGTTTTACAGCACTTGAAACACAAATAGGTCATATTAGTGTCAAAATTTAGAGGAGTTACTTGAGAGTAACATACAAAACAAAAAAAAGGAGGAGAGATAAGGACGATAGACGTTTGATTGGAAAGACAGAGCAAACCAAAGCAGAGCACCCACCAACCATCCACACTATTTAGATAAAGGAAGACCATACACTATTTAGGTAAAGAAAGACCACATGCTATTTATGTGAGGGATAAACAGAGGATAAACAAAAGAATGATGAGATAAAACAGCGCTCATTATCTCCAGCAAAAGCTCTTGTATAGTTAGACTTAAGCCAGATGAACAAAAGGTAAATAAACTGGAACAGGAAGTCTAAGAGGGACAGGGAAAAAAAATCAGAAATCTTGTCAGAATAAGAAAAAAACACCCAAGATGAGTCTGGGTAAACCCTGCAGAATTAAATAAACTTCATAACTTAGCTGTAAAAGACTTCTATTAAACATGAAAGAAGAAAAACCATGCTTCCTTCACTTTAATTATTTAGCAAAATTTAATATTGTTTACTGTAATTTCCTTCCCATCTTAGATAAAGCTATGTACACACATGGCATATGGAGCATTGTGTCGCATGAATAGAATTCTGCGCTTGATACCATTCACAAAAAGGTGTGTAGACTTACTGGATTTGGAGGTTTTGTGGATAGGCTCTTGGAATCTCAACCATAAGGTCATGGGTTCAAATCCTATCACAGACCTGACATTGTATCCTTGAGAAAAGCACATTTCAAAAATGTTCCTCATTTCATCCTGGTGTAAATGGATACCCAGCTATACACAGTGCAAGATATCATTATTCAGCTTACTCTACCCATAAATTGAACTCTACAAAAGACCAAATAAACCAAAACTAACAAATCTACCTTTTCTTCTTCTAACGTGGGAGGTGGTATATCCACACCATTGGTCATCGCGAGGCGACGGTCGATCTCATTCTTCAGGGCAGTCACTGGGGAACCTGAACATTTGGGGAGTGGAAAAGAACATCAAACATCAAAATGTCACAGAAATATGAGGAGTCCATAGGGAGAACGGGAATAGTCACAAACTGAAAATTGTGAGGGCATCAAGTTTGATCGCTAGTTGACTGATAGCTGTATTTCTGTTCAAATGATTTCCCATTCAACAAAAATAACAATAAACCACGAATCAAACAAATGTGAGTCCACAAGCTTGTGAAATAGACACCCTCACAAATTACAAGTTTGTGACTATGCCCGTTCTTCCCATGGACTCCTCCTCAAACAGGGACACCCAATGACATTACATCAGGTTACGTAGCAGTGGATAAAATTACATCAAGTATGACTGATTTTAGAGTAGTGAATGTGATCCGGCTCTTCCAATTGCCTAACCTAATGAATAAAAAACACACGTACACACACGCACGCACACATACCCACACCCAACCCCAACCACACACACACAGACACATACAAACCCCATACCCACCAACCCACACCCACCCACACACACAACCCCACCGACGCGCCACACACACACATCCGCCCACACA